ATATACCAGCTTTCCAGATTATTGATACAGTTTCAATCTTTGTTGACAAACATGTATCAAGCTTGATATATATATATATATATATATATAGCAAGGAATAATGACTGTAATTAGTGTGAGTTTATAGAAGCAGAAATAGCTAACAATTATTTGATGGTGACCATCTCATGCTCATGCTATACTTAAACTGAGGATAAGACAAATTTCCTCAGTTTCCAGTGTCAATCGTGCTCATTTGGTGGATTTATAATGGTATGATTTGCATTACTTCTGAGTTTGTGCCCTGACACATGACAGTGCAATTTGCAACAGTTGAGCATCTTGCATCTTAAGGTTCAGTTTGTGGTAGTTTGAAATCCATATCCTGGTTCAATTGTGTCTGTTTGAAGATAGTGTTTGTGGCAGTCCTTGCAAAGTTTTAAAACCATGTATTGATAGTATTAGAACACTCTGCAGATATACACTTTTATGGTAATCAAGCTCACCCTTCGCAATTCACAGGACAGTGAATCCTGGCACAAAAATTTGCTTTATTAGCAAGTGTTCAACTTCTTCGGCAATAGAGACGAGATCAAGTTACAATCTCTCACATTTGACTTCATGCTTGTAAACAGGTCACAAATTTTTGCTCATGGAGACTCCACTCATTTTCAGGCTCATATCAAAAATGGTAACAGCATTTTATTTTTTATTTTCTAAGCTAAGGTCCAGAGATTGTAGCTCTGTGGATGTTGTCATTTGTCTTCAAACAAGTGATACTGTTTATTATTTATTACTATATCAACATGACATAATAATCGAATGCATAGTGTTGTGTTTGTCAGCATGAAATGTGGGATTGGCATATTGAGTTTAAATTACTGCCATCGTCATTGTGCTAACTTCTGAAAAGAAATGAATCCCACACCCCCGCAGCTATGGGTTAAATAGTAGAGTAGACTGGTCTCTAGTCTTGGTTACTAACCATTCTAGGAGAAGAATAACTTTGAATTTAAAACTGAATCAGTATGTGGCTGGTAACTCCACCCTATAAAATGTTTACTTGCTACAGAATGCACAAAAGCAAGACTAGTGCAGCGAGACTGTGGCCCTCTACTCCACATGGGATGAGGATTCCTCACTCTCTTTAACATTACCTTTGATGAGAGCATTTTTGGAGGCCATAGTTTATTTTAAATCTTTGCACTCTTTTGTAGTCAATAAGATTTACCAGAAGTAACTTTAAGGATTATGAATGGTGGAAGATGAAAGTGTGGAGCTGCAGTCAAAACTCACCATGACCAACAACTTTACATTTCTGTCTTGATTGGCACTTTTTGGTTCACTATTTGGGAAAGTCATAGTAACATTAACTATGTAGTTTTCAAAATGATAGTAGCATTGTTATCTGAAATAGTCATTGGTCAGCACTAAACTGCATAGCACTCTGATCATACTGCTCTGGATTGTATTGTGGAAGTGCTCTGGCAGTCTCCCAAGTCTGGTTAATGGTCAGCTCCTGACTCGCAAGCAATTGATGACATATTGAGCCAAATTGGGCTAAAAAACTGCAATATTATTGGTCCTGACCTGGCATCTCAGCTTCAGTCACTTTCTCACCACCATAACATAGCCTCCCTCTGCCTTTTCCATAAATCCTTTCATGGTAATTGTTCTGATGAGCAGCACTTTTTCCTCATTTTACAGGCTTGATGCAGCTGTAAGTTCTATGCTAACAGTTTCTTCTCTGGCACTTCTCACTTGGGGAACTCTCTTCCAGCTTCTTGTTTTCCAGTCAACTTTGACCTTCAAAAATTTAAATGCAATATCAGTTATCTTCTGTCTTAATTCTTGTTGTTTTATTGTTCTCTTGTTAATATTTTTTCTCATATTCTCTAACACTCACTAACCCTGTGTGTCTTAGTGGTTTTATTGCCTTGCTTGGTGTTAAATGATTAAAATAAAAATATAATGTACTATTCAGTAGAGGTATTGAACTCACTGCCTTTAATTTATCAGAAACTAAAAACCAATGCCTCTTTTCGTTTGTTATTGCTAGACTTACCTGTCACACCTGATGATTGAAATATTAGATTGGATTGATTTTTTTTTTCTCTACAGCTTATCAGCCTTTTACTGGTTATTTAAAATTGGAAAATATTTTTAGATTATAAGAATTTTTTTTTTTTTTTTTTTTTTTTTTTTTTTAAGATAATAATGATTTTGTGATACAAGTCTTACAGCTGGAAGAAGAGGTGAATTCATACCTTTTCCAAGAGTATTTGCATTATGCTTTTTGGTGTTAATGACATTTCAGTCAAGGTTCAATCTATCAGAATACAGAACAGGTACCATCTTGAATTTATCAAATTTAATAGATTGTTGTGAATACAAATTAATTCTTTACCTTATACAATGGTTTCTGCAACTTGAAATACGATATTAAGATATTATGACAATCAGGGCTGGGCTTCTGGCCACATCACGTTGAAACACTGGTTCTCATATGACCATAGATGGGTGACCACTTGGAAATACCAGGTACTGTAAGTTTTGATGTATGTAATGTATAATGGCTTGGAATTGTTAATCAGAGTGCCAAGTTCTAATTTCCATTGGGTTTGTTGTATTCACTCATGTAGAAACACCCTTGAAAAAGGTATGAATCCACCTCATCTTCCCCCAGCTATGGGTTAATTAGTAAGACTTGTATCATTAAACCATTATCTCCCTCCCACTGAAATCTTATGATCTAAAAATATTTTCTGGCTTTAAACAACCTGCAAAAAGTTGATAAACTCAAAAAAAAAATAATCAATCAGGGTTGATGCTTTTATATCTGTAGACATTTTCGATTATTTTCTTCGCAATCATCTGTGGGAAGCAATTGAATAATATAATAAATATATAACACCCACTCTTTCTATCTTCATTACAGACTGACTGCTGGTGTTATTAGCACTTAATAGCAATAAAAAAAAAATCCTTTTACTAATAAATCTTAATGAGTAGTGGGAGGATTTATTTATTTATTTTTTTTTTTTTTTTAATCTTGAATATTCTTCTTCCTGCTCATGCCTCATAATATTATATTTACTAATCCTAGCTTAAAATAAAATGGTGGTTAAGAAGATTGGGATTTGCCAAACTTCCAAGTTGGGTAAGCTTGCTTTGTAAATCAGCATTTGAAATTTTGGGCTCAGTAAGAATTGGTGCCAATGGGAAATATGGAAACCCACTAAGCAGGCCAAAGTCTGCTTGTACACTATTTACATTATTCGGACTGTTGTCCTCATCTTTGTCGCCATATTTATTACAACGTAACGGACGGATGTACGCTCCGGCCTTCTTCAGGTGGTTGGAATGTCAGACTGACCCTTTATTTCGCTCACTGGGATAGACTGTTTTAGTTCCATGTGCCATGTTTAATGGATGTCAGTTGTCAGTTATCTCCTGTTAATTCCCCTCTCCAAATTCTCCACTGCCTTAATCGGATATTGAACTCACACTCTTTGGGTCCTATCGCTGGATCTAACTAACACCTTTATGCACTGTGCCATGTGTCCTTGTGGTGACAAAGATGAGGACAATAGTCCGAATAATGTAAATAGTGTACATAATACCTCATCTCAAAAATATAGACAGATACTGAAGGGCCGAAATGTTGTAATAAATATGGCGACAAAGATGAGGACAATAGTCTGAATAATGTAAATAGTGTACATAATACCTTATCTCAGAAATATAGACAGATGCCAAAGTCTACTTGTTTTGGGCCTTCTTTTTTTTCTTTTTTTTTTTTTTTCGAGAACTAATAGGCATCATCAAGTCTTTCCTCTTTCCATAAAGTTTCCACCAAAAACTTAGCATCACCTGTTGGTAATCTCGACCAGGGCTTGCCAAACTCGACCCTCAATCCACATTGGACTGTTGCAAGATTTTATTTCTTTCACATTGTCACGTATCTTTTTTGTAATCAGCAAAATGGTTCAAAAAGAGAAAAGTAAATTTATTCCTTCATTTCTAAAACCTTTTAGTTTTGCATTGGTCTTCATAAATGAGCAAAATATATTATGTGATCCATTACTGAAAAACTTGGTATTGTTGAAACACCAGTTCTTGTATGATCACTGAAGTTAAGTAACATTCAGCCTGGTCAGTACCTAGATGGGTGACTTAGAAATACCAGGTGCTGTAAGCTTGGATGTGCATATAGTGTAATGGATAACAGCTCATAATTGGAAATCGGAAAGTTGAGTTCCAAATTGCATTTGGTTTCATTATATTCACTTAGGTACAAATACCCTTGGGGAAAGAGGGTATGAATCTATCAGTTGTCACTCCCAACTATGGGTTAATTAGTAGGATTTGTATCAGTAAATATATTATCCCCAAAAAGTTCTTACAATCTAAAAATATTTTCTGACTTTAAATAACCTACCATGGCACCATCTAAACATTTCTGTTTTTTTGGTTTTAACTGTGGATCTGTTATATTTTGGTTTTAATTGTAGTATTGCCATACTTGGGTTCAAATTGCAAATCCACTGTACCTGGGTTCAAATTGCAGATCCACCTTGTTTAATTTTAACATTGCTGTTTTGAAAGCAATATTCTGATTTTGCTCTATTTGGAGGTTCTTTCCTGGGTTTGATGATAAACTACACCTGGCAGGAAGGCCTCTGATTAGGAGGTTTTGAGGACTGTGCAACCACCTCTCAATTGCTGTTGCTCTCAGGTAGTAGCACCTGTTAGGGTCCCAACTATAGGCAAATAGTTAACCCCCAAACTGCGCTTGAAACACTATGAAAGTATCAAAATACAAACAATACATTTTTATAGTAAAAAGAAATTACCAGGAATACATATTTGAAAAAAAAAATATTACCAAAACCAGCAACACACTTTTTTGAATGAAGTTACTAATGCTTCCAAGAAAATTAAATTTCCACATTAAATGACCCATAAGGTGTTGATATGCCATTAAACAAACTATTTGGCTGTTTCTCTATTTTTTTCAGGGTGATCTCTAGTATTCATGCAACTGTGGTGAGCTCAATGTGTGCATACACTTTGATTTATGATGAAGGCCTCAGTAAAGATCCTATTTGGTAAGTAAATAAGAATACCATTTTTCTTGAATGCTTATTTATTGCCACTTCTTTTAAGATGTCTTTGTAGCTTTCTGCCTTTTTCCTTTTTGTCTTCATCTTGTGTTTTATCTGAATTGTACACAATTCCAAACAAGAAACCCTGATATAAAAATGCTGTACCTACTTCTCTCTAACTTAATCTTGTGTGTAGGTCAACCTTTGATTTTTGACCAAGAACTTCCTTATTTAGGATATATCTTCTGGTATGGCTTTATCTGGCACTACCAAAGATAAACTCAAAACTTCAAGTCTGTCGGTATTTGTCTCTCTTTTCCTTTGAGACTCTAGCAATTAATCGCATTGAACAGAGAACTTGCTTGCCATAAGGAGATCAAAACTTTTGTGAAATTATGCCTTGATGAGTTAAGATCTAACCCCAACACTCCAGCAAGAACTTGTAAAATTCCAGCCAATTGCAGCAATTGTGGCTTTGTTTACAGACAAGCAGCTAACCTAAAAAGCCAACTTGGGCATAAACATGAAGACTGAAGTTGGAACTGTTGAAAAATGACTGGAGATTTCATCATCATCATCATATCACATGGAATCATTACCACCGTGCATGCTGCCTTGTTGACAACTGGCATCCATGGCCTCATGGGATCTGCCTTCCACCTAGAAAGTTGTAATAAAAGATGAAAAGACTGCTCAAATGTTGATTACAAAAATGCTTCTCAGAATTGCAAATAATTAGAATAACTTTTATTCATTTTGATCACTATATCTATATCTTTAGACTGGTGGGTTCTTTGAACTTCCTCAGGTGCATGTTACACTTGATAAATTTCATTTTTTTTTTTTTTTTTTTTTTTAATCTCTTGGATGAAGACAAAATACAAGATAACCAAATGTAACAAACACCTGAGGAAGGCTGTAGAGCTAACCAGGCAAAATATGATTGAAACTGTCAAAGTGAGCTCTCCAAATTTTGTTTTGATCATTTGCACTTCTTTGTATACTTGATGTTGGTAAACACCATTTCTGATTACAGGCATTACTATATTGTTGCCCATGGACTGGGAAGCTAGTCCAAATAATTTCTACTCTATTGAAGGCACCAGCTGCATCTCTTGCAGAAGAGTTAGACACTCTATCCAAAAGAGGCTGCTTACTAAGTAAATACTTACAGGCTCCAATATAAATGACCAATATTTACCTATTCCTCAATCCAGTAAATGCTTATAAACTTAAATACAATGATAAAACCTGATTTTGTTATTGAATAATTCAGGAAAAGTTGATCTTTTATAAAATCATTCCAGCAAATCGAATAGTTCATCAACTGTAGTAAAGCATTTTATTAACCTCACGCGATAAGCAGTAGATATGTGAAAATATGTTTAGGTTTTCCGTTGATGTTAACAGATGTTTCATTAGATCCCTGCCCTATAAATAAATTAAACTAATCAATATTTCTTGTGGTAAATATTTTTCAGGTATAGATTAATTATTTTTCTCTAAATTTTTCGGATGAGGAGTATTTTTTATTTGTTTTAATTATTTCACTGCTGTACAGAAGAAAATGCTGACATACCTTGAAGGCTAAAATGCTTATGTGTTGCATGTGGTTTTTGTAGAAGAAAAAAAAATGCCTCTCCACTGAATGAGGTCAGTGAGTTCATGTAAATGGACTTCTGTTTACTAATTGTGGTTCAAGTTTAACTGAGGGGAATGTGTTGCATAATCCATTTCCATGTTCCACGATTAGCAAACCGTAAAGGACCAGAAAAACTGTTATAAAAGCAACTAACTTTTCCTGCCAAAATAGATCTTGCGAGGAGGTTAGGCTGCATGTGTATACATGGAGATTTGAAGTTTGTGAACTTTTTATTATACAATAATAAGCAAGGCAATAAAACCGCTAAGGTACAAGGGGTTACTGAGTTAAAGAATAAGACAAAGAAAAATATTATTAAGGAGCATGAACAATAAAAGAGGAATCGAGAATATAGTAGATAACGATTGACATTGCACATTAAGTTGGCTTGAAGAGCTTTCCACAGGCAAGAAGTCGTCCTGGGTAAGACGTTAAACTACGTCCAGCAGCAAGGCCTCTGATCAGGAGATTTTTGAGGAGCGTGGAACCACCTCTTAATTGCTGGTGTTCCCAGGCTTACCCTGACCCGGGGTGGTAGCACCTGTTAGGGCCCCAGCTATGGGCAAATAGTTAACTATTACCAGCAATACTTTTTTGAAAATAATTATTACCAGCAATACAATTTTGAAGGAAATATATTACTAGAAACAGATTTTTGACAAAACAAAATATTACCAGTAATAAAAATTTTTGTCGGCATTGGGTGGCACATTGAGGTTGGTGTGCCGTAGAACAGAATAAACCAAACCAAACCAATCTAAATCAAAGAATACATATTCTATTCATACAAATCTATCCTAAAAATGTTGGCATTAAATAACCCATTCAGGTTGATATGCCGTTAAACAAAATAAACCAAATAAACCAAACCACAGGCAAGAAGTGTGAGAAAAGAAACTTTTGGCATAGAACTTATGGTTACAGCTAGCCAATTAAACTATAAAATGAAGAGACCTTGTAATTCTAGTACTGTGCTTAAATTCATAAAGTCATGGTACCATAGAGGAAAGTTCATCAGAACAATTACCATGAAAGTAATTATAAAAAAAAGGGACAGGGAATCTCTTAGTGGAAAAGTGACTGGGAATCTCTTAGTGGAAAAGTGACTGAAGCCAGGATGCCAGGTCAGAACTGATAACATTGCAGATTCTTTGGATTTTATCAAGAATCTCTAAATATACAGTAAGAGCACCAGAATGAATCATTGACTTATAAACATGTGAGATAGATTCTGAGGAGAGAAATTGTCTAGCATGCAACAGGGAACCAACTTTCTTCGCAGTAGACCTAACAATGGATTCAATATAATCTTTCCACTTCATGTCAGCAGAAAACCTTAGCCTGAGAAAGTACAATAAGTCACTCCCTTGGAAGATGGAAGTCAGAAAAGGGTTCTCTCGGATGATTAATAGAGCTGTTTTATTTTGGAGACATTAAAATTAACAAGCTATTCCTTGCCCCAGTTAACAATAGATTGTAGGACATTTTTTAGATCAGCTACCATTTTGACCTTATTGAACTGCTCAGAATTACTATTAAGACAGGAGTAAATAGTTGTATGATCAGCATAGATACCGAGTTGAGAACTGGTGATATCAGGAAGGTCATTTATGAAAATTAGAAACCTTTAGGTCCAAGGATAGAGTACTAGGGAACACCTACATATATACAAAAAGATTTAGAAGAGTGGCCATTCAAGACGACTTTCATTTTGCAATTTGATAAGAAATATTGAATCAGTTTAAGAAATATTGAATCAGTTTAAGAAATATAACTTTTCAACTTGTGAAGAAGACCAGTATGCCAAATACTGTCAAATATTTTTGAGATGTCTAAAGCAATGGCTGGATCTTCACCATTCTTATTTAAAGCTTTATCAAGTCTCTTACTTATCTAAAAGACCTTGTGATATAAGATGCTGAACCAATTCAGAGTTGGATAGGGTCTTTTAGTACATTAAGAAATCTGGCAAACCATTTTATCCTTCTTTTTTGGCAAAGACTGGAACTACAGAAGAGGATTTTCAACAAGTAACAAAGCATTTATTGTAGGGTTTAGAGAGAACAGGAGGCTGATCTCAGTTTAGGGGCACATTTCTTAAGGATTATGATTGGGATACCATCAAGTTCACATGGTTTGAGGGGATCCAGTTTAGAGATAATAGCTGAAACCATGGGCAGAGTTATGTGCATATGCCACAATAGAGACTCAGTTCTAAGTGGAAAGTCAGGCAAAGAGTATAATCTGAAGAGAAATTATGAGCAAAACATCAGCAGAAGATGCTAACACCTCAAATTGAGGGAAGAGAAGTGGAATAGAAGACTTTTACAGAACTGTCAGTAGTCATGAGAACCAAAGTTGTTAGAATGAGGCGTTGTATACCCTCTGTCAGCAAACAGACTTAGCAGACACAAATAGGTGTCTGTTGTGATCAGGACTGTCATGCTGGTATAGCTGGAAAAGGTGATTCCTGTGTGCTATGGAATTATCATTACCTATGTTATTTACATAGACTAATGTTCATCTTTTGTTGTTACAATATTTTAACCATTGTGCCCATCATCCTTCTTCAAGTGTCTGCCAATTCAGCTAATCTTCCAAGAATTTTGTCCTGAAATCTAAAGAAGGCCAGAGGGTGCAATGGCTGAAACATTGTGATAATAACAATAAAGGTGATGACCTTAGTCTGTAAATAGATTAATTATGTGAAAAAAAAAATGAATGAATGGGTGCTATTATAAAGAGCTCTTTGGAGATTATCTTAGCTTTTGAAACATTGTGTGTGTCTGTATATACAAGGTCTAATAAAAAAAAAAAAAACATTATCTGAAATGGTGCTATTAAAAGGAAAGCTACAACACATCAATCTGGCATTTAATCTCATTTGAAGTCATTCCCTTCTGAAGCTATACACTTTTAGTGTTTTTTCCATTGATGGAAGTATTCCTGCAACTCCTTTCTTTTGGGATAGCAAGCACCATTTTTTTTTTTTTTTTTTTTTTTTAAGAGGAAAATGTTGTAAGGGGCAAGATCTGGGGAATATGGTAGTTGTTGGAATGGGGAATGTTGGGCTTTGTTAAAAACTGTCGCACAAGCCATGGTGACTGGTGGAACCTCTGTGGTGTGGTGAAATGACCACACTCTACACACATTCCTTCCAAGCACTGTTATAAACAGTGGAAGTGAGCAAGAATGTTATAGCGTGTATGAGTAACAGTTCAAGATTACTTTTCAAACTTTAGTTCCCTTACCACAGCACTTATCCCCAATACTTTTTGATCAGACTGTGTGTTTGTGTGTGTGGATGTATACATGGAGTAATGGATAGCAGCTCGGATTGAGGAATTGGAGAGCTGAGTTCAAATTCCTGTCGAATCTGTTACATTTACTTACATGCTAATACCCTTGGGAAAGTTATGAATCTGCCTCTTCTCCCCCTAGCTATGGATAAATAGCAGGGCAGACTGGGTTCTATAGCCTTGGATGGCAACTGGTGTAGGGGAAGGACAACTCTGAATTGAAAACCTTGCAGAGGGTTGTTTGGGGACCTTGTAACACACAGTGCACCTGGTCTCTGTTTTCGGCTCTTCAAAAAGTGTGGTTGGTTTTGCGCAAAACCATCACCACTATAATCAAATCATATGTGCAGGTTGTCTTGCTGTCATCTCCTAGAAACTGAGTGGCCTGACCCTCATATGTTGTAAAAGGGTCCCCAGTAGGCACGGATCAACAGCCTGCATCGATCAACAACAGGAGAGTCCACAAGATTATATATATATATATATATATATATATATATATATATACACACATACGTTTCTTTAAAAACGACAGACAAGGTACTACAGTTAAGCTTTTTATTTCATTTTTCTTGTGTTCGAACATGAGTTTTCTTTTCTGGACAAAGAGTGTGTAAAAACTATCCAAATGTTTTATAGTTCCAAGCACTTTTGGCCTATACCTTTAGGCATTATCAAGGATGATTCAATTTTTCAGCTTAATTGAGTGTGTGCATTATGTATATGTTTTAGTGTGTTATAGAGATATTTTTAATTTCTGAATACAGTCAGCACATTGTGGCCTTGTTCTTAATATTGTTATGAGTAGGCTTTTTTTTTATTATTAAAGCTTCCATTATTTTTTATCTTTTTTTACAGGTGGATGAAGTTATTATATTTGTGTTTTCTACTTGTGTGTATATATATATATATATATATATATATATATATATATATATATATGGACATGTAACCAAGTGAATGTTCGCTTTCTGACCATGAGATCCGGGTTCGAATCTCACCATGGTGTCGATTTGTCAGGAAGGTGACTTTGTGATGTTACCAGACTGGAGGGGCAACGATCCCGACGTGCTGCACCTTTTGGAAAGTTTCTGAAAACCATACCACAGGTTGATCCAAACCTTGTGAGTGAAATTGGAAGGACGGAACCCTTGTGGGGGGGTGCATCAATAGTTGTGCTAGCACAAAATCGCAATTCATCATGACTGAGGGTTTTGAGCATACTGGCCTTCTTTAAAATGTTGATCACACTAAATAGCATGCTCTATGCCATAAACTGTAACTAAGGTCTGCTCAACATAGTTACAGTATAAACCACAAGTGGGCTCTGTTGGTGATGAACAAACACAAATGTGTCTGCCCTTGCAGATTGGCGTCCTTGGATATGAGTGGTCAGCAATCATGTTTTTATATATTGAGGCAAATTTCATTGAATAATTTAGACAAATTTTGTCTGCTTATTTTCAATAGGATCTGTTCATGTTCTCAGGTAAGCTTTTTGGTGTCAGTATTTAGAGAGAAAATTACCGTGTTGATACATATTGTTTTATTCTGAGTACTTTCAACATTAACACAATGTTATCCCAAGGGTGTATTTTTAAGGCAAAAATGTAGTGTTCATTATTCCCAAAGACATTATGTCAATATACTGAAGCCATCCCCATAGCACTGGAGCTATATATATATATATATATATATATATATATATATATATACAGGGTGTCCATAAAGTCCGTGTGTATTTTAAAGTATTTAATTTTTAAGTGCACACGAACTTTATGGACACCCTGTATATATAATTTCTAAAGAATTAATGGATTTATTTTTAATCCAATATTTTTATTACTTCAAACATCATAACAGATACTCTCTATTTGAAATAGATGTCCCATTTTTTTATTTATTAAACAGTGTGGTTTACACATTCATTCAAGAAAATTTAAGTAAATAAAACTGCATTCTTGGTGTTTTTTTTTGCACTAACATCTTTTCAATTGCATAGACGGGTCAATAAACTTAATACACCCTGTTTAATAAATAAAAACACTGTCTATTTCAAATATGGTGTATCCACTGTAATGTCACTTGAAATAAAATATTTGTCATTTTTTTCTTTTAATAAGGCCCTTGTTAATTCAAGTGCAGAAGGATGAGATCATAAAAATGTTTTCTCATGTTTATTCTGTATGTACAGATTGAAAACAATTTGTGGCTTGAATAATTTCATTTAAATAATTTCCTTTTAATTAAAGTGTGATGATTATGCATACAAGAATATTTTTCCACATGAATTTATAAGACAAGTAAATCTTTATTGATTGCTTTTGGTTTTGAAGGAGAAAAAAACATAGTAACACGTTTATTCTCTTTGTAGGTGGGATGCGCCTGTGGTGAGAACAAGCTGTGCAATAGTTGTTGGCTACATGATTGCTGGTAAGTAACAAAACTGTCACCATCACCGAGACTGTGCTTATGTTAAGAAGATTAAAAAAAAAAAAATTTGAGTATGCAGGCATTTCTGATATTTAGTTCATTTTAAATTGTTTTTTTTTTTTGTTTTCTTTTAAAAATGTGAAGTTTCATTAAAAAAAATTGCTTTGGAAAATCTGACCGATTTCTGATGAAAGATTTCGTTCAAACTTGTCTTTTCATTTATTTAATTTTCTCCTACTGTCCAAATCGCTTTCCTACAAATAGAGAAACGTTTTCATAGAAATTCTCTTATCTCTGTAAAATATGTCATTTTCAACAAGACATCTATTTTATATATTTCTTTTAGTTATTATACATTGTCTACTTGAAGTTCCTTTTCTGTAAATAATTATATAGAGCTGACCAAGAGAGAAATAGTTGAATAATTTTCTGATGTTTATATTAATAATTAATTCAGCAAACTTACCAATTTTTCATTTTTCCTAAATAATTTGGTAGTTTTAAGAAAATTTAATTATTTTGACTTCTTTCAATAAATTTATAAATCTTTTTTTGCCTCCATTTGACTAATTTTGTTCATGTGAAATAGCAGACAAGAACAATGCTTATTATGAATGCTGTAGATTTTCTAACTTACAATTGAATTTTGACAAGGCATATAAAGTTTTCTCTTGTTTATATATTCTAGTTGTATTAATTGTAATATTATTTGAAGTTCTTCAAGTATTGTCAGTTATTAATAATATTTGACTGGTATTTCTTTTGTCTTATTTTCAGTTGCTTCATTTTTTATCACTCTCATCACATTGTCAATCCACGATAGAATCAAATGAACTTTTGTTGTGATACAAATTCACATCCTCTGTCCTGGGATTTATCTTAAAAGGAACTAAAATTCAAATAAAAGAAAAAAACTGTCAAAATGAATATTTCTTAACAATATTTGTTTTCATTACAAATACAGTCGCAAATATCTTATTGAGGGGTGATCAGAATCCTTTTGAAAGTCTTGTTGTATGCCAATCAAACACATGGATATTAATATTAGGAATATTTTTTGAAAATTGTGGTAAATGTTTTGATATCTTCCTTATGTCTTACCAGATTTTAAAAAGATAGTCTTCCATCTGTAACAAGTGATAGTTTACGATTTACTCTTTCTCTGTGTATTCATGGATAAATAATATTATTACCTTTCCAGATCTCATCATCATGACTGTCCATTACCGAAATATTGGGGAGGTGTTTTACTTTTTTCATCATGGGGCATCTATTTATGCATATGTTTATGTAATGGTAAGTATGTAATTGTTTGGTAGACTGATTTCATTTTTGCTTTTTTCTATTCAAGTTTGATTGAGATTCAGTATTGTACATATGTCAGTCTTTCAATTATTTTGACCTCCATCTTTGTCTGTGTTATTTTGTGCAGAGCATTTTGGATGGCATAGTCTTTGGGCATTCTCCAGCATATTTAGGATGGCATACTCTTTGAGCTTTCTTTGTTGAATTTTGAGAGGAGTTCTTTGAGCTTTCTGTAGTGCATTTAGGATGGCATACTCTTTGAGCTTTCTCAAATGCATTTTAATTCGAGTACTCTTTGAGGATTCTTGGCTGCATTTGGGGCAGCATAATGGCTGAGCATTTTTGGGTGCATTTCAAGTGGCGTACTTCCTGAACCTTCTTGGATATGTTGCATGGCTGTTATCGCTTTTGTCAAAATCCAAAACTACAGTTTATCACTTTTGGTGATATCAGACAGTCATTTTCTTGAGGGTGATAGGGCATCATGTGAAGCCAAAATTCATACATATTAAGTCTTTCTAATTGGAATGGGATTCATATATGCCTTTTGCAAGAGATGTTATGCATGATTACTTCTAGAAGGTATAATCAAAATACAAGCTGAGGAACAAAATGTGTATATATGTATGGGTTTGTGTGTGTGTGTGTATATATATATATATATATATATAGTTGCATGTTTGTATGGGTTAGTGTGTGTGCATGTAAATGTTCATTTGTATCTGGTGTGCTTATATGTATGCATTCATTTGCGTGTCTGTCAATATATGTATGCGTGAATATATATATATATATATATATATATATATATATATATATATAAGTGGACATTGAAGTTAACACTCAGAGGCTAGCTGAGTGGATACTTAGACTTATACAAAATTAGCTTCATTTAATTGAAAAGAAAAATAGTTTTTTTAAGTTAAGTAATCCTTCACCCTGCAAACAATCACTTCCCATCCCAAAAAGAGATATTCGTAAGGTTTCAGCCATGGAAAGAAAAAAAAAAAAAAGTCACCATAATTGTATCAAAGCACCACTGAAACAATGTTCGTCTACTCTGTCCATAAAGTGTGAAGCTCACTGCTACCCTACCACACTGACCAGCTGCTTTGCATGGAGCAGTCCATGGTTTAACAATTTTGTTATCCCCCCCCCCTCAATTCCTATTACCTCCTCTCCCTCCTAATATACTAGAATGTCAGTTAAACATTGCATGGTCAAAAGTTCTATGGCTGCTGATTGATTCTCCAAATATTTGTTCCTCTTTAATCATCTGGTTCATAAATACGTGTTTGACATCTCCTCCTGGGTGAAGGCCAGCATCAATGCTTTCATTCCAGCAAGGAAATACCAAGTTAAACTGCATTCATCCCCTTGGTTCTCACCTGCATGCAGGGCTGCTATAGCCCACAGGAATCCCTTCTTCCAACTGTACCAGAGCAACACATCTGATTGCAAGAGATGTTTCTTTGTCTCTTCTCG